AAATCAATGATTTAGATAATGAAGAACAATTATGGGTAGTTTTTTTATAGTTATTAATTTAAAAATTTTAATGTTTCCTAGTAAGGGACATTTGACTTATATCCCTGCCTCCCCCTTTAAGGACCCATCTTTAGATATAAGGGATCAAATTTTTTCTTTTGGAATGATATTCTTCTTTCCTAGTGTGTGAATTAGATTGATCCAAGTAATTCTTTCCACAACAGGCCATCTCATGAATTGAAGTGATTACAATTTCACAACATGGAGATACTGAAAGTAGCTGAGAAACAGGCAATATACCCTCAACTGATGAAACCCTCAAAGAGTAACCAGCTTATAGAATCAAAGTAATAGTAGTAATGTAAAATTTTAACTCTCATAGAAAATTCTAAGAATGTTTTATTAATAATTATTTCTTGTATTTGCATTATGCCCTGACTTGAAAATTTAATAAAACAAGGCTGAGTCGCCATTTCAAAAAAAAAAACGTATAATATTATACCGTGTAGGACAGATGATGTAATGATTATAGCTGCATTTCGCGGTTAAAAAAATATATATATACGTATATGTATTCCTGATCAAAATACGTAAGCAAAGAAAAAATCCGTAGTTCTTTCAAAATGCCAGTTTGCCCTATATGTAAATCTCGAAAATGGTATTCGGACGGATTGGGTGGACAACGTTGTCCATATGGACACCAGCGTCAGGTATTAAATGTTAAAAATGAACTTGCTTTTACACTGTCAACTTACGCGTTTCTACTTTTCGGTAAAAGAATTTTCAAGTTCAAGAGAGCGGAGACACAGTTACAGGAAACCTAAAAATCCGCGGTGGAAAACAAAAAAATAAGAAAGTCAACAATATAAGTATGGAATCAAAAAAGTTATTCATTCGAAAAATGACGTTGATTTCTTGTTATGTAAGATACTTAATAATTATTTAGACGATGAAAAAAAATATGCATTTCAGACCCGGAGAGGAATGCAAAGAGTTTTAATGGATGCTTCTCAATACGTCCTGAGAAGACTAATATATACTTTGATACATGAAATGGGATTTCCGCCACAATTTGAAGTTAGTCATGATGCACCGGCTGCAAACTTATCTTTTTATTTAATGATTAAAAATTTATTTGAAGAAATATCAAATTTTATTTATATTTAGCAAGTTGTTCAACATTTATGGATTTTGTATTTAACCAAATTTCATACCGTTGAAATGTTTGAGAAGAGGCAAACTGGATCATCTGAAGTGAGGGATGGCCTGTCAGACTCACAGGAAGACGGAGACAATGATTATGATGACAGCATTGCGGTGATGCTCGATGCTTTCGATGTGTCTGATGAAGACGAAGACAATCCTCGAGAAGTTGGAAATGACGAATTTGGGGATTCTACAACGAAAAATAACAAGAAGCCTATAATTCAATTTTCTAAAATATCGGATATTTTGTCTGTATTTAGAATGATTTATTTGTTGAGTATTCTTCACCTTGGATGCGTATGGATGAGACTTCCTGTATTGATGAGTGATATTCATCGGTAAGAAGGATAGAGAAATGGTTATGCCATGAAATTTCCCTTTTTTTTCTTTTTTTTTTTTTATACTGATCTTTTTTTTTAGGTGGGTTAATTCCTGCCGTCTACCATTTCTGGCGATTTATCAAGAGTTTTCAGAAGAGTTAAAGTTACACTTGGGAAGGGTTATTAATCGGTTTAAGATAGAAGTATGATTAAATTTCTATTTACTGTCTTTCAACAAATAAGGGACATTTGATTTTATTAATTTCTTTTTTCTTTGAAGCAATTAGATTCAGTCTGCTCTTTGACGCAAACGGAACATATCTTTATTAAATTTTACAAAGAATATTATGGGATAGTTTTTCCTGAGATTAACGCGCCTCCCGTACTGTACCGATTTATAAGAGATTTGATCTTACCAGGTACATGCTTTTATGAGTTATCCATATTTAATTAACTTATTTATTTAATCTTTGTTTACACATTAGTGGAATCATATGTGATCGCCAAAGAATTATTGCTTCTGATTAACTTGAAACTCGATTGGGAACAATATACATATTATCATCCAGATAATTTATTATTAGGAGTTGTTGTAGTTGTCATTAAATTAATTTATGGATTGGATTACCATAAGAGGTTAGAATAATTTTTGCTTGATTTTCTACAAAACAAAACCTTATGCAACCTTTTTTTTGAAGGGTGCCAAGTGACAAGGATACGTTTGTTCGATATTTTCCAAGGTTTGAAGATTGGATTAAGAAATTGAATGACAGGCATGACAAATTATTTCATCAAGAAATTCCGTGGGACTTTGCGTAGGTTTCTCATTAGTTTTTCAGAAAATTGGCAAGAATCATTTAACCATTTGACTATAATTATTATTTTACTTATTTTTACAAATTAAGAGATCTAAAAGAATGGGTAGAAATTAATCCAGACAAGTATATTGAATATTGCGCCGACTTGTTAATTGGCAATGGCTCTGAGAATGCTAAGGAAAGTTCAGGACAAGTAAAAAAATATGAAGGTAAAACCCATGATGTTTGTTTTCTTGATTATTTTTATTTTTATTTTATTCTTTTTTTAAAAAAAAAAATTAACATATTCTTGGTAATCGTCACAAGATATGAAAAAATTATCACAACCTTTCCGAAAACTGTCGGAAACTGTGGTGCCGGAGATGGAAAATCGAAAAAATGAACACGAAATAGAAAAACTCCAAAAGTTAATTCAAAATGGAAATTCTTTGTGTCGCAATTCGTCTATTGAGTTAACCATCCAAGAATTTTATAAAATTGTAAAGGAGAGGAATATTGCCCAAAAAAAAATTGAGTGCTTAAATAACAATGAAAGTTATATCGAACCCGTTGAAGGAGAAATTCAGGAATTGAGTTTCTGTGCGAAAATCTCAAAAAATCAAGTTCCACATGCGGATTTAAAAAATGACTTGCGGAATAGATATTCGACTTTCTTGTATACTCCCGACGAATGTGATGAAGGTGAGTCTAACGTGGGATTGGGAGAGAAATATACATCCTATCAATTAGACAAGAATGTATTTCGTCGTAAACGGAAAGATCTTGGTTTCTTAAGACATACAGAGTTAATCGGGGCGTATCATGAGGATTATGAAAGAATTTTAGTGTTTGCATCTAGTTTGATTGGTGAAACAATTAACAGAGTTCAGGAAGCGGTAAGAAAAGTTGAACTCGATTTATATGAATCAATTGAAAAAGAAAATTTGTGACAATAGGAAATTATGTATTCCGTTAGAACGATAGGTTTCTTAGACAATATTAATTTTAATTTTAGATATAAGTTCAACTATTTTATGTAAAATTTTCATTATTTCAGAGTTTTTCTACTTTTAAATAATAATTTCAGCAAAATTAAAATTAATAATACGAATTGCAATTAATATACAAAAATCAAAGTATTACTTAATAAATATACATATACGGAAAAATTAAATAGTCATTAATTAAGGTGACTCTGAATTTCAGAAAAATATAATTAAATAACTAAAACTAAAGTAGCATGTAATAAGAAAACTATGAAAAGTTAAAAAAAAAATTATGAAGATTTCAAAAAAATATAATAAAATATGGCAGTAATGATCTGCAGACAGTGATATTGATAGTTGGAAAGATTTTTCACCTGTCTTTAGCGATGTATACTATATCTATATACAGTTTACAAAAAGTTTAATAAAGCACACATAACTGATCTGATAACCCTCTGTCAGGCTAGTTATACGCTTTAATTAATTAATTTTTTTTTTATCTAAAAAAATTGATTCAATCGAATCGAATTCGGGTTTTAATGATTAACATTATATACATATATACTGTATGCACGTACAATTTCATTCATTCCATTAAGGTCGCGAAGTAATATGGCTTTCGAAAGAATTAAAACAACTGCTCCACAAGTCCTACAATTATGGTCGAACATATCTGAAATCGAGTGGGTTGAATCGCAATTACCAGCGCAGGCGGAATATTATGAAGACTTGCAAAAGAAGGTCAAGTCAAAACGAGACGATCTGGAACAAATCAGAAAAAAAATGTATGTTATTCAAGAAAATCTATGATCCCATTTTTAAGACTCATTCTTTTTGACAATTTTCACCGCATGCAGTAGAGAATTCGAAGATATAAATTTTACGATCAAGAGGTTAATCGCAACAGTAACATTTCAGCGGGGGAGAAATGAAGAAATGGACTATTCAACTCTATTTGAGAAAGGACAAGAAGAAAAGGCAGCGCTTGTAAAACTGGAAAGCGAACTGCAAGAGGCTACTCAATCGGTATTTATTATTTTTATATTTGTGTTATTAATCTGAAAATACAGAGAAAAATATCCTCCCGGATCTTAGTAAAAAAAAAAAAAAAAAGGTGCATTTGGGAAGTTGATTTATTAAGCGTCTAAATTCGGAGTCAAAGCTGAGAGATAATTGAGATAGAAAATATAGTAGGTGTATTTAGGGAGGTTTCTCTGTATATGAATTAGTGAGTAGAGTTTTATTTAATGAGACCTTTGATTTTAGCACAATACATTAGTCAGTAAAAAGCAGCAATTAGACGCTTTTCGAACACAATTATATCAACTCTACGACTCAATATTTGCCGGTTTAACGCCAGAATTCCCGTCCGAAGATGCGTTAGAAGACGAAGCGAATTCATTGTATGCACAATTCAATCAGATTGAATCAGACCTAACCCGTTATAAAACAGCTGTAAACCACATTGAAAGCGCAAGAAAAAAACTCCAAGAAGCAATTGAATGTTTGCGTAAGGCCCTTGGCTATAATGCGTGGGACCTATTTTTTAATAGTACTATTGCCAATTTCTTTGAACATAGGGCATTGATAGGTAAATTAAATCAATATTCTCGTATTTATTATTTTAAAGCGTATGCTTAATACTCCATTTACATTAATAATCCAGATGCGCGGAATTACGCAAAACAAACTCAAGAACAAATAGACAAAGCGAAACAATGTATACCAGAGGCTTCACGCATTGGTGAATTGAACGTAACTCGAGGAAACTTTGTCCTAAATTTTGTTTTTGATAATTTACTTATGGATATACACATTAGATGTAAATATCTTCTACATTAT